AGTCATGGGTGAATTGCATAGTGGTGAAGTAGAGATTTTTTAGCGATACCATCCACCCAAATAGTGTACATTATACTCAAGAAGTTATTTTCATGGTCACCCCCATACCACCTTACCTTCTGAGATTCTCAGAGTTGCCGTATTCATTACACTGTATCACAACCATACATGACCCAGAGTCTGTTAGCTCTCACTTCGATAAGTGAGAACAGAGGAAAGTGATTTGTTTGCCGATTCCTGAGATTATCCACTTAGGATAATGGCCTCAGTTCCATCACGTAGCTAGAAAAGACATTTGATTTTATTCTTTTTTTTATGGCAATGGCATTAATGATATTGTGGTGTGTGTGTGTGTGTGCAGCATGTATGTCCATTTCTTTTTTTTATTGATAAAATCAATTTTATTAACTAATAATGTAATAAAAAATCCTACCCGACACCAAGCATTAAAAATTAACTTCAGGTAATGTAACTTACATGATATGTCGACATTTTCTTTATCTACTGCATCAGTTGATGGGCACTTTGGTTGATTTCCCTTCTGCATCTTCCTACAGCGTTCTGACGAAACCCTGTCCAAAAAGTCCAGCGACCATGGAAGTCAAGAACTACAAGCAGCAGCACCTCAGGCTTCATCCTGGGTCCTGGGCCGTTTCCTCAACCCTCAGCTGCAGAAGCCTGTTTGCCATCTTCGCTCATTCATGTTACCTGGGTCACCGTGGTGGAATGGGCTCATCATGCGCTGCCCAGCTCCACTCTGACTTCGCAGGCTCCATTCCCCCATGTACTTCTTTCCCTCAGCAACTTGTCTTTCATGGATATCTGGCGTTCGGAACAGACAATCATTGGTGCCCGAAGATGCTGGTGTGATTTCCTCTCAGAGACAAAGACCATTCTACGTGGGCGCCTGGTCCAGATGACTTCTCATGGGCTTTGGAACACTGGACAGCTACCTTCTGGCATCCCGCATGCATTGACAGGCTGGTGGCCACTGTGCAGAACCTTCCACTGATGATGTGGTTATGAGCCCACGGCGTTGGCCTCCTCATGCTGTTGTTCTTGCACCAGTGCTCCCAGCCTGACACCTCCCTGTTCCGGGTGCTACTCATGTCTCGCCTGGCTTCTGCTGCCTCCAGCATCAGTGAAACCACTTTTTCTGTGATACCAGCCTGGCTAAAGCTGTCCTGCTCTGACAGCACCTCCAGGCCAGATTGTGGTCGATGACCGAAGACCGCTGCGCCGTCTGTCGTGACCCCCCTTCCTGTGCATCATCTTCTCCTACCTCGACTGCATCATCCTCACTGTGTCAGACCCTGCTGGCAGCGTGGGAAGTGGAAGGCCTCTCCACCTGTAGCTCCAACCCTCACTCGTGTGGTCGCTGTCTATGGGCAGTATCATCTACTGTCGTATTTCAAGGCCCCTGTCCATGACCTCAGTGGTGAAGGACCCGGGTAGCCCACAGTTATGTACACAGTGCGCACACCCATGCTGAACGCGCTGTGTCATCTACAGCCTGAGAAGGCAAAGACATGAGAAAGTTGAAGGAAATTGTAAGGGACAGAATTCAGTCATAGAAAATGAAAATAAATGATGTCATCGATGGTAGATGACCTAAGACAATTATGGAGGTGGTATCCTTCCTTCGGCTAAACCGATTTTCCAGCGGGCATTCAAAGAGATCAGGACAAAGTGTAATTGGATGAGTAGTAAATAATTGAACCCAGGAGCCAAAGCACTTGGTTTCTCATCAGATGATATTAACCGAACTACATATTGAATGCCTAGCTAGGGTACTGCTACGAGGTCCACGATTTCAGGAAGATTGGTTTCTACGCGATCCTCAATACACTGGAACCATAAAGAAATGTAAAATTTTTCCAAATAATTTCCATTTCATATAGAGTGCAATGTCCACGCGAATCTAAAAGCTTTATAAGACTCCTACTACTTTTCAAGCAAGAACTGGAAATGGTGGGGTTTATAGGTAATTGGGTAGAGCTTCTTGGAAGATGACCTGAAAATGTCATCTTGATAGAATAAACTGAATTTTAACAGATGAAAGTTCAAAGGAAGAAATGGACTGAGCATTTCAAATATGGAAATCACTCCAAGCATATTAAAAAAGGGGAGGGGCAAATAAAGCCCCACTTGCAATGGATAGGACAGTGAAAAGCCATGCAAAGTTGTGTTCAATCTGCAAGTAAGGAAAATGAGGCTGGAAAAATAGCAGGAAGCTTATGTACAGGAAGATGTTACTCTCCACACAACCCAAGGTGTCATAAACAGTTGCAGATATCGAGTACCCAACTTTTTCCCCTTCTCTGCGTTAAGTTCTTCCTCTCTGCAATAGAATTCAGCATGTGCGTCACTGAAGCTGCCTTTATATCCTGGAAACAAAACCAAGTATATCAGTCAGAAAAATTACGGTGGTGTGTCGTGGAGAAAAACAAACTTATAATCTCAGGACCCTAAAACCAAAGTGTATTTTCATTCACATTGAGCCACTCATAGGGAACAAGTGTAAGTGCTGCTCGTTTTCAATACTCAGCAAAAACCCAAGAGTTACTGGAGCGTCATCCTTGAAAACGCATCTTAATTACTCACCGTTCGTCAGAATCTGAGAAATGACTCTTCAAACATTTTACATTGGCAGTTGAAGTACCCTGTGTTGCCAGAATGACTCACACCATTATGACCAAAACTTATTGCCGAAGAGCGGTAATCTCAGCTGAGCGCAGACGAACCACGAGAGGGGAATCGCAGGAACCGAACTCCGAACCGATGTGCCTGTAAGATGGAGAGCCAAGTATCTTGGTAAACAGTGCTGTGGGGGGAAATTACTACATCACCCGCCCCTGCCCCCCCCGCCGGCCCGCGGCCCCCCTACGATCTTAACTAGCAAACATTCAGTGTGGATCCTAGACTGCTTTAACAATCCTCCCTGATTAAGTTAATGTCTGTCAACAGCCAATGAATAATATAAGACTTCTACTCCTCTCTGGAATCGTGCTCAATTATTTGTATCAGTTCTCACAACCACCAGTTTTTCTGCGGTCAGAAGTGTTAATGGCAAAACCTGAATTGAATACAAGTCTTAGGCTTAAAGATAGAGCATAAGATGTATAATCTATGGAACACAGGGCACCGTAGGCTCAACCTGAGCTCCAGTTATTTGCCTTTTACTGATCATCCTAATTATAGGAGACTGAGATCAGCAAGGCGGAAAAGAAGCCCGAAGTGCAGTAGGCTTCATAGTTTAAGGACACCTGGATTTCACCACTATCTCCCACTGGATCACTGGTTTACGGGGATGGCTGGCCTAGACTAATGTGATGTATTGTTTCCACGTTTACTCTATTTATGTGCCATAGTTTCTACATGTTCAACAAGACGATAAGCGTACTTTAGAATGTGACGAGAGTTCTTTGTATCATATTAATAAATACTTCATTGAAGTTACAGCTGCCATTCTCACTTGATTAAAGCTCAATTATTCCTGTTTGGTTCTGAGGACACTAACTTTTTTTTGATTTTCTCGACCTCACAGATGTTTTCATCCCCAAGACTCTTCTGAACAAATGCATGAAGAAAAGGATTCACAAAAGATCCTTTTATGGGAATATTTACAGATATTGTGAACGAAAGTTCAAACCCAAAGGAAATTCGTAGGTAACAGAATAAGGATGAGATACACTTGGAATAAAAGAGTTCGCAGCCAACTGCGTCAGGGGTAATCTGTAACCTACTCAGTCAAGAGTGAGAGTTTTCTGCCTGTTAATTATGGGCCAGATTTTTTTGAGAATTTTAAATATGCTCAGGCTGGTTTTGAACTCCTGACCTTGAGCAATCCGCCCGCCTCGGCCTCCCAAGAGCTAGGATTACAGGCGTGAGCCACAGCGCCCGGCCTCAGAGAACTTTTCTAACCCCAATTAAAGCACATAATTAAAAACAATCAGTTAATGGCAGAAACTGAGAAAAACAAATCAATGGACCCATCATAGAGAATTTTCTATATCTGGATTTATATATGTATATAGATTGTGATCTATCTGCAACTGCATATATAATAAAGATTTATTTCAGAGTTTAGGAGAAAGGATGGAGTATGAAATTAATGATATTTGTGACAATTGGTTGAATAATTGGAAAGCATAGACTAGATTTCTATGTAACCCACATAAATAAACATAGAAATAAAACCCAGTTGAATGCAAAATCTAAAAGTAAATTGTAAGTATAAAATAAGTTTTAGCTCTCAAGATGGGAATGTCATCCAAGCAATTAATGAAATGTATAAGCAAGAATGATAAAATACTGCACTCAAAAATTTGAAAATTACACCAAAAGAGATCATAAACAAAGCTAAACTACAAACTACTAACTCATAGAAAATATCTGCAATACAGGTACCAAAGAAAACATATGACAAGGTAGTTAGGCTAATTGGTAATTAGAAAATAAGAACCAAAATACAATTTTTATCCATCAGATTTGTACTACATTTTTTGGACAATATCCAAAATGAAATAGACCCTCACTATAGGCCTTTTTGAAGTCTCTATTACAATTGATATTCTGCATCTCTTGAATCAGTAATTTCACTTTAAAAAAATTCTTTCCTTTGGAAATAGTCATATTTGTGTAACAAAAAATGTGTAGAAACATTTTTATTATAGCATTGTTTACATTATCAAACATAACATGACAAAACCAACAAGTAACAAAACAACCATAGAGGAACCTAAATATTCACAAATAGGTAAATTATTAAACAATTTATAGTGCATTGTTATTGTTCAATATCATGCAGTTTCTAAAGAAATAGAAAAGATGGTTAATATTAGCCAATATTTTTTAGCACTCAATATATGCAACATACTGAGTTAGTTGCTTTGCATGTTTTTCATCATTTTATGTTCTCCAAATCCTAAGAAGTAGGCACTATAATTATTCTAATTTTAAAGACAAAAAATAGAGTTTAGCAAAGCTAAGTAACTTACCAGGTCCCACAGACAGTAAGTGATAGAGCTGGGATTCGAATTCAGGCAGTCTGATGGCAGAGTGGGAGCTATTAGTTGCTAAGCTATGTTGTCTCTGTGAAAGCACTGTCTATGACAATCTGTTAAGTGACAAAAATAAGTTGCAGAATAGTGCATATAGAATAATCCCATTTTTGTAAGAAAAGTATTTCTTTTATATGTTGTGTTGTGTTATGTGTGTGATGTGTATGTGGTTGCCTTGTGAAATGAGATGAGAGGGATGGAGTAACTTCCATATTTAACTTATTTAACTTTATTTTAAATTGTTTATATTTAAAAATAATGGACATAGGCTTATTTGTATTAATTTTATAATTAAAAATGTTAAATTCCCTAAAAACCACTTCTTGGAGAACTAGAATTGCATGTGTGTTTTAAAGTTTTCTTCTGTGCATAGATCTGAACATATACTATGTACAGGAATGGATTCATGTTACCCATAATGATTTTTCCCCCACTGGCAGTGTTGTAACAGATATCTTTTGTATATATACAATTTTTTTCACTCATGAGACATACTTTATAGTGTAGAATAGATTCTGAGATATGGAATGCTAAATTAGAGTTTATGGACATTGGAAATCTTGATAGATACTCTCAACCTGAGACATCTGCCCTTCATGCTACTTCTGGGCAATGTATTTGTTTGACTCTCTGGACTCGTTCCCCATTTCCTTCTCTGTGTCTTTCAGCCTCACTCCTGAGAGAGAGTTTGTCTTGATGGTAAAGGATTATCTGATCACCTTGGGCTTGAACTTGGAATTTCCCAGATCTATGTGCTTTCACTTGGGGGTAGTAGCTAGGCTCCTTCCCATATAGCTGGGTCTGACAATATTGATATTTGCTCGTGCCTTGGGCAAATCATTTCACTTTCTTATAGACTGTGTTGTGCATGTGTGTGCACGTGTGTGTGTGTGTGTGCTGCTTTCTGCCCTGCCTAACACTGTCATTTGGAGACTCAAATGACAGCTGAGTGAAAGTATGGAAAACCCTGCTATAAGTGCTTAGTATTATTGGTCACACAATAAGCTAGAGGAATGACATTTTAATGTTGGGTCTTGTCATCAGTTAGTGGTTGGGAAGGACTGAGAGTTTTTATAAGCCTTTTAAATAACATTATTAGGAGTTTTCCTTCCTTGAGACACAGGAAATATAGGCTATTTCTATACTTCTTAACTTTCTCCATTGGAATTTCCACATTGTGGACATTTGTCATCTCAGGTTTGTTTTCATTTCCTTGCTCATCTACCACTCACGCAGGGTCTTTCTCTTAGTCTCTAGCTCACATGGAACCAGGGAGCACAAACTGGTAACACAGAAGGCACTTCCCAAATTGGATAAACATGGTAGATGAGCTGTGCCCTGGTGGAAAGCTTCCCATCACCCATGCTCCTGCTCCTCTGAATGAAGCAGGACAGCCAGGAATTGACTTAACTGGAAAAAAGTTCAGCCAGCATTTATTAGAATGATTCTGTCCTTAGCACTTGTCCGATTTTATCCCCACAATAATACTATGATGTAAGCACACTTATTTCCCCCTTTTACAGATAAGGAGATTGTAGTCACAGAGCTGGTGAGTGGCAAATCTAAGACTTGAACCTAGGCACACCTGACTCCAAATTACATATTTTAAACTGCTCTGTGATGATGCCTCTTCCCTAAACCACACACATGCAGTGCAGAACTACGCTGGGGTGTCCTCTGCATGCAGAGGTCCTCTTACTGCTCAGTGCCTTCACCCTCCTTGCTGGCCACTCTTCCTTCTCCATCCTTTGCTCCCACACTGGGGATCCTTTCAATTTCCTTCCTTCCTACTCCCATTTCTACCTCCTGCTCCACAAAGCTATATGCTTTTCTCTCTTCCTGACTTCAGAGAGGAAAGGCTGTAGGAAACTTTAGACCTCAGCTCTGTTAAGTTTGAATAAACAACGGTTCTCTGATTTGCAGCAACAGCACCTGGTCTTAGGGTCTGTCCTGGGCAAAGGATTTTGGAAACCCAGCTTCTCCCTGTCTACCCTGTTCTCAGCATCAGCAGTTAGCCAAGCAGTGTAGGGTGCATCCTCCCCTTGCGAAGTTCTGCTTAAGGACTCTGCAGTGTCCTTTGCAGACTGGTCCTTCTCTTTTCAGTTCTCTGATATTTCTCCCTTCTGCCTGTTGTTTTTATTCCTATGTCAGATTAGAGCTTTACCTCCTGTTTCCTGGCTCTAGAGAAGGTGGTATCTCAGCCTAGTTGCTCATTTCCTACTTAGTTTAGAATGAAAGCTCTTCTGAACAGCTTTAGGTCCCTCAGATTCCTGACTGAGGGATTCTAGTAGTTTATCTACTAGACACTCTACTAGTTTATCCAGCTCTAGGCTGTTCTCAGTTAGCTTCTGCCCCACTTTTTGTTTCTGCCTGTCTTCTGGGAATCACTGGTTTCCAAGATGCCTAACTCTGTGTCTCTCTCTTTCCTGCAAGAGATAACTCGGTGGGTCTGCAGTTGCTGGATGTGGACGGAACCCATTAAGGGCAAGAGACAGTGAATACAACAGTATCTTGAATAGAGGAGTTACTTGAAGTGTTTGATATTTGATCAAAGAGAGAGAGAGGAAAACGTGTAGGGAAAGTCCATGTTTCCTGGCTTTTGAAATAGAGGAGCAAAGATAGGATCTATCGAAGGGATGAAGATTACATGAAGATGTTGACCCACAGTCCCTATTACAAAAGACCCCTCAGCCTGCCTACCTGTGGGCTTGTTAGAGGAGATCGGGGTCCTGAGCAGTCTGTAGGCCTGCCAGGGGCTTAAGAGCAGGCTCCTGAATCTCTGAGGAAGGAGGCCTCTTGAGGTGCAGATCTAGTCTCAGGAAGGTAATGGTTCTTCTCCACCTGCAGTGGGAATTGGTGATAGAAAGGGAGACCCAGGGGCCTGTCCTCTCTGTATGCCAGAGCCCTGGGACGATTGGCCTTGTGGTCTTCCCAGGAGGGAAGAACATTACTGATGCCCTCACTGAGCTCTGTGGGGAACCTGGGCTGCAGTGTAGCCACTTACACCAGAGAAGGGAATTAGAGTAATGCAGCAGTAGGGCCAGAGATGTGTTCATGCACATACATGTGCTCTATGCACATATATGTTCGTGTACATGTATGTATTCTATGTACACGTGTATAGTCTTGTGCATATCTGTATGTAGCCTTTTATGTACCTACCTGAGAGGAAAGGTGATGGCCTCTGACATCCCTGAGGCTTTGTGCCTACATGTACGACTGTATCTCGGTGTAGGTGTAGTGTTGGGGGAAAGGGGTTAAGGTACAGGCTCTGCATTCAGACTCACTAGATTCTGATGTTGCCTCTGAGTCTGACAAGCTGTGTACTTTGCAGATACTTAGATTTTCTGAACCTCAAGTTTTAAAACTTTCATTTGCCTTTCTTAAACATTTTATTACTTCAATATCTTAAGTCAGACTGCTTATATTTGAATCCCAGTTTCACTAATTACCAAATTAGTAAATTTGGATACTTTATTTTTTCTCAGTCACTCACATTGTCCTCATGTATAAATGGCACAGTGGTCACAAGTTTTAGATGGACATTTTCTTTTTTCCTTGATTTCTCTTTTTAAATAGATTTTATTTTTGAAAGAAGTTTTAGGTTCACAACAAAGTTGATCAGAAAATACAGAGACTTCCCATCTGCCCTCTGCTTCTATGTATGTGCAGACTCACCCCCTGTCAGCACCCCCACCAGAGGGTCGCCTTTGGTACAATTAGCGACCTTAAACAGATGGTTCTGGACTAACAATGGTTCAACTTAAGGTTTCTTAACTTTATGACAATGTGAATGATACGAATTCAATAGAAACTGTGGTTCAAGTACCCATAAAACCTTTCTGTTTTTCGTCTTCAATATAGAATTCAATTAATTCCATGAGATTTTGACATTTTATTATAAAACAGGCTTTGTTAACGTTAGATGATTTTGGCAACTGTAGGTTAGTGTTCAGAACACATTTAAGGCAGGTTAGGCTAAGCTATGATATTTGGTTGGTTAGGTGTATAATACTTTTTCAACTTGTGATGTTTTCAGTTTACAATTTCCAGTGTGCTTACTGGAGCTTAACCCAGTCGAGAAGCACCTGCTTTGGCACATCATCCTCACCCAAGTCCATGGTTTACATCAGGATTCACATTTGGTATAGTCGTAGTTGGTATCACTTACTCTAATAAATGGGCAAAATATGCTCAATGAACTAAATTTTCCTTAGTTCAGTATTGAGCAAGATCTCTAGTATTTATATATATATGAAATGAGCTTACACTAGAGGACACAATACATTTCCCTTTATAATTGTTTTATCAAAGGACAGGCCTATGGGATTATTCCCCCGTTGTACTCATCCAACCTCCCAGGTGCCTACACGGTGGAAGGAGGGTCTGGCAAGGAGATTCCTGGCCCACTGTCGAGGGCTATGCACAAGCATTCCACCCAGCACGGCAAGATGTTCAGAGGACAGTGTAGACCCTTCCTCTGATTATATGTACCTTCATAAGAGATTTTTTCCTCTTATTGATGCTTATTAGCAACTTTCTAGGTTAACATCTGGGCTGTCTTCTCTGGACAGAAAATATCTTATTAAAGCCTTCAGGTGCTCCTTATTCACTGAAACTCATTTCTTGTGAAGGGTAACAGGATGTCTTGTAGGAATTGGCCTCATAGTCTGTTGGAGATAGCACTCCAGCTCTGAATGAGACATTTAGGACTTACCTGAGAGCCAGACTGAGAATCCTTTTAACCTAAAATGCTATCTCATGGTCACTTGCTATCAAGAATTTCTTTCAGTTTGAACTTTTGGAAATAACTAAGATTTTTCATAGAAGATCTTGATTTCTTAGTGGCGATACTTTTGCTGAAGGAAAGAAGTCTGGGGCTGATGTCAGAACTAAAAAGTTAAATTGGAGTTCTTAAGGTCAAAGGACTTACTTACCTTTATAAGTTACTATGGGTTGCAATTAATAATTTTATTTATTTAATATATGCCAGGCATCTCTTACATTCTGAAGTGTCTAGTTAAGCATGAGAAAAGTAAGGCACATAACTAAGGGAAGTGGAAAGTGTACATGTCCTCTAGGCCAGCATCCCCAAACCATGTAATTGATGGGAGATAGTGGTGAAAACCAGTTGATGCTGTGAAAATATAAAGGCTACTATGGCTTGTATTTCTTTCTGGCTTGCTGGTTACTTCCTTGTAGGTAGAAGGACTTACTGAAAGCAATGGCGGGAAACTTGAGGTTGGAGCCTTGGTGTCCCTGTGTTCCATTAGACTGTCACACACCTCTTGCTTATATCTTCAAGGCCAAAAGACTTGTATTCAACTTCAGGTCCTACCATGAACAAGCTTGTGACCCAGAAAAGATGGTGGTTGTGAGAACTTGTTGAGGCAGAAGGGTTCCAGAGACAGTATAACTTTTTTACTATTGCTGTTGTAAGTTTTACTATTGCTATTGTAAGTTACTCAGGGAGGAGTGATAAAGCAGCTGATTCACACTGATGTGTTTGTGTGTTAACATAGTTGTGTATATTCACCAGTGCCGTTTATCAAATGCTTGTGGCTCTCCATGTTAGAGGCACATGGTTAGACTGCGCCTCCTGGATCCCTGTGTTTGGTTGGGTCATGAGATTAATTTTGCACAATGAGTTTTGGTCAGAAGTATTGTGGGTCTTGATTTGCATTTCCCTGATGATTAGGGATGTTGAGCATTTTTTCATATGTTTGTTGGCCATTCTTCTGTCTTCTTTAGAAAAGTTTCTGTTCATGTCCTTTGCCCACTTTTTAATAGGGTTATTTGATTTTTTCTTGCTGATTTTCGTGAGTTCTAAGTATATTCTAGTTATCAGCCCTTTATCGGATACGTAGGATGCAAAAATTTTCTCCCATTCTGTAGGTTGTCTGTTTACTTTCATGACTGTTTCTTTGGCTGTGCAGAAGCTTTGTAGTTTCATCATGTCCCATTTATTTATTTTTGTTGCTGCTTTGATTGCCTTTGGGGATTTCTTCATAAACTCTTTGCCTAGGCCGATGTCTAGGAGAGTCTTTCCAACATTTTCCTCTAGAATTCTAATGGTTTCACACCTGAGATTTAAGTCTGTTATCCAGCGTGAGTTGATTTTTGTGAGAGGTGAAAGGTGTGGGTCCTGTTTTAACCTTCTACAAGTGGCTATCCAGTTTTCCCAGCACCATTTATTGAAAAGGGATTCTTTTCCCCAGCGTATGTTTTTGTCTACTTTGTCAAAGATTAGATGGCTATATGAGGATGGTTTTATATCAGGATTCTCACATCTGTTCCACTGGTCAATAATCCTATTTTTGTGCCAATACCAGATTGTTTTAATTACTACAGCTTTGTAGTATAGTTTGATATCTGGCATATTAATGCCTCCCAATTTGTTTTTGTTGCCTAGAATTGCTCTTGATATTTGGGGTCTTCTTTGGTTCCATACAAAGCGTAAAATGATCCAGCAATCCCATTGCTGGGCATCTACCCAAATGATCCAATGACACTCTACAAAAAAGACACCTGCCCTCGAATGTTCATAGCAGCACAATTCATAATCGCAAGGCTGTGGAAACAGCCCAAGTGCCCATCAATTCAAGAATGGATTAATAAAATGTGGTATATGCATACCATGGAGTACTATTCAGCTCTAAGAAACAATGGTGATATAGCACATCTTATATTTTCCTGGTTAGAGCTGGAACCCATACTACTAAGTGAAGTATCCCAAGAATGGAAAAACAAGCACCAGATATATTCTCCGGCAAACTGGTATTAACTGAGTAGCACCTAAGTGGACACATAGGTACTACAGTAATAGAGTATTGGGGAGGGGGGGAGGGGGGACAGGTATATACATACACAACGAGTGATAGGAGCACCATCTGAGGGATGGTCATGCTGGAGACTCAGACTTGTGGGGGGAGGGGAGGAAGGGCATTTATTGAAACTTTAAAATCTGTACCCCCATAATATGCCGAAATAAAAAAAAAAAAGTGTTGTGGGTCGCTTCTGGAACAGAGTATTCAGCTGTCACTGTAAGTTCTCCAAGAGTATTTCTCAACTTCTGACAGAGTGATGATTAATGTTTTCAATGATGACTGCTCCATATTGAAAATGAGCAGCACCCTTACACTTTTCTATGCGACATGCAATGTGAATGAGAAATAAACCTTTGGTTTTAATGTCCTAAGATTTTGAGGTGGTTTGTCTTCACAGCACAACCTCGATTTTCCTGACTGCCATTGCTTTTCCTAGGATATAAAAGGCAGCTCAGTGAGGATGCTGGACATGTGGAGAAAAGGAGAATTAAGAGGGAAGAGGTAGGGAATTGGACACAGAGCATTTACACTGTCATGCCTCTTGAGTGTTGGTGAGGAGAGTAAATCTGCCTTGTAGAGTCCTCTATCCTTCCAGCCTCATTTTCCTTACTCTCAAACTGGACAGGCGTTATAGTTTTTTTTTTTTTACTGTCTTTCGAAAAGCTTCCAATATTGATTTCTTCTACATGCTTGGATGGGTTTTACTATGTGAAATGCACTTACCATTTCCTCATCTCTTGAAATTTCTACTGTCATGATAAGTCCATCCTTCAGAATGAACCTAGGCTATCCTTCCAGAGAGTTTTTTCCCAGTTTGCTATGAAACCTATGTGGTTTCTACTTCTGCAAACTAATAGGATTTGTAGCTTCTTGAGTGATGAGTGATGTTGGTTGTCAGGCTTATATTAACAGAAGAGTTATTTATAGATAAACTTTATTCCACTGTATGGGTGCCAGTTTATTGAGGATGGCAGAAGCTGTTTCCCTGAATCTGGATTCCTAGCAGTACCGAGCCTGGGATGGAATATATGTTTGGTCAGGGTCATTGATAGAAACCAAGAGTTTTGCTCCTGGGTCAGTTATCTTACTATCATCCAATACCACTTCTTCTAATCTCTTTGAGTGCCCTGTGGAAAATGGTTAGGAAGGAAGGATAACCTCATAATGTCTTAGGTCATCTACCAATGATGACATTCCATCAATTTTTCTTTCTATGACTGAATTCTGTCCCTTAATTTCTTCAAACCTTTCTTCATGTCTTTGTTCCTCAGGCTGTAGATGAAAGGGTTCAGCATGGGTGTCACTACTGTGTACATAACTGTGGCTACCCGGTCCTTCACCACTGAGTACATGGACAGGGGCCTGAAATAGACATAGATGACACTGCCATAGAACAGGACCACCACAGTGAGGTGGGAGCTACAGGTGGAGAAGGCCTTCCACTTCCCAGCTGCAGAGGGGATTCTGAGCACAGTGAGGATGATTCTCAGGTAGGAGAAGATGATGCACAGGAAGGGGGTCACGATGACAGCCAGGGTCTCGGTCATGACCACAATCTGGCTGGAGGATGTGTCAGAGCAGGACAGCTTTAGCACAGGCTGGGTATCACAGAAAAAGTGTTTAATGATATGGGAGGCACAGAAAGACAGTCGAGACATGAGTAGCACCCGGAACAGGGAGTGTAGGTGGGAGATGGTGCAAGAACCCAACAGCATGAGGAGGCAACGCCGTGGGCTCATAACCACATCATAGTGGAAGGGTTTGCAGATGGCCACCAGCCTGTCAATGGCCATGGATGCCAGAAGGTAGCTGTCAGTGTTGGCAAGGGCCATGAAGAAGTACATCTGGACCAGGCAGCCCACGTAGGAGATGGTCTTTGTCTCTGAGAGGAAATTCACCAGCATCTTGGGCACAATGACTGTTGTGAAGCAGATATCCATAAAAGACAAGCTGCTGAGGAAGAAGTACATGGGGGTATGGAGCCTGGAGTCAGAGTGAATGGCCAGGATGATGAGCACATTCCCCACCACAGTGACCAGGTACATGATGAGGAAGACGGCAAACAGGGGCTTCTGCAGCTGAGGGTTGGAGGAGAGGCCCAGGAGGATGAAGCCTGAGGTGCTGCTGCTGTAGTTCATTAATTCCATGTCTCTGGACTTCCTGAACAGGGTTTGGAGAAGCCATAGGAGAGATGCAAAAGGCAATTTGATCAAGACAACTACTTGTCTATCCTCAATCTTCTAAAAATAACCTACCATTATTTGTTATGTTTTCTAAGAATATTTAATTTGAGAACCTACAGGAAAACTGATATTAAAATCAAACAATGTCAAAGAACAATTTTCAAAGGTCCTCCTAAATTAGAGACTAAAAGTTTTCCATAGAAACTTTTTGGGAACTTCCATGTGCTCTAGTTTGTGAGGTCCTCTCCTTTCACTTTTAAAATTTTCTTCTTAGGTTGTGTCTTGTCCAACTTTCGGAGCTTTTATTTTATTTTATTTTTTTAACAGGGGAAGAGATTTCTGGATCTTTCCTAGAATAAAAATGTTTTCCTTCAAGGGATCCCCATGAATGAGCTTTTGTTATTTAGTGTTCTCTCTTTCTCATAGTTCCACAGTGATAGTGATAGTTGGGATAGGACAAATATAAGCATCCGAATTAATCAGTGCTCCCTGGTACTTACGGGATTAAGGTGAGACCTCCTTAAGTCTTCAAAGATAAAAACTGCTTAATGTTTATTTAAGCATTTCTCTTTGGCTAATATAATCTGGATACTTTAATTATAATCTTTTGGTCCAAGGATGCCAGTTAGAGTAGGAGTAATACCAGAAATAGAATCTGTAACCAAGATTAGTCTTTAAATATATTAATTTTTCTGATTACAAAATTGTGAGGTTCTCCTTCTAAACATTCAAATATTGCAGGAATATAAAACATAGAATGTTAAGAGTCCTATTTCCACCAATATCATGCAAAAGATGAGGCAAGAATAGCCCCAATATTACTTTGAAGCTACATTGCTGAGATGGTGGCTTAAGTGGGTAACAAAGGTATAGATACAGAGGCCTAAATATTAGAAAAGATGAAATTGTCATTATGTGACATGATTGTATAGAAAACAATTTCAATATAATCATCCCCAATCCTTTTTTTTTTTATTTCAGGAAATTATCAGGGTACAATCATTTTGGTTACATATTATGACTTTGCCACATCCCAACCATGATTTGAGACATGCTCTTCCCTCTGCTACAACGCTACAAAAGTGGGCAAATACATTATGAAACTAAAAAATATTAATGCTTTTCCGGTATTAGAGAAATGTAATGGGGAAAAAAGTTTCCATTGACAATGGGAAGAAAATGTAAAAAATACTTAGGAATAAACATGGCAGTGGGTGGGAAGAATGAGACCTATCAGAAGAAACTATAGCAGACACACATTGAAGATCTGAATATATGAAGATCTTTCCATTAGTACCTTGGAAAAAACAAGGAAAGGATAGCTCCTGTATTCACTATTGAGCTGCATTGCTGAGATAGTGGTCCGATCCAGTGGAAAAAGAGCATTAAATAAATATGAGGCATAAACATTAGAAATGATGAAATTGTCATTGTTTTTAGGTGACACGATTGTCCATACGGAAAATGCAAGAGAATCATCCAAAAAATTTCAAATCTATGAATATTTTACCAAAGTGGCTGGCCACTTTGTAAATGTGGCTGTAAATGTGGTGTAAATGTAAATGTGTAAATGTGGCTGGCCACATTTACAAGGTAAATGTACCAATATTAATACTTATTTTGTATTATAAAATGTAATTTGGATAAAGTTCCAATTGACAGTGGCAAGAAAGTCTAAAAAGTACTTAGATACAAACCTGAAGAAAAAAGGTAATCAATAAGATCTATCTGAAGAACCTATAGCAGAACACAAAATGAAGATCTAAATATTAATAAAATGGAAATGTCATATTCCTAAAAGGAATACTCAATATTTTAAAATGTCAATTCTTTTCAAGTTAATAAATTTCAGTGTACCTCTAATAAGACCTCAAAGGAATTTTTAATAAAACCTGTGAAGGGCTGGGAGCGGTGGCTCACACCTGTAATCCTAGCACTCTGGAAGTCCAAGGCTGAAGGATTACTTGAGCTCAGGAGTTCGAGACCAGCCTGAGCAAGAGCGAGACCCTGTCTCTACAAAAAAATAAATAAATAATAGAAAAAATTAGCCAGGCATGGTGATGAGTGCCTGTAGTCCCAGCTACCTGGGAGGCTGAGGCAGGAGGATCGCTTTAGCCCAGGAGTGTGAGGTTGCTGTGAGCTAGGCTGATGCCACAGCACTCTAGCCTGGGAAAGAGAGTGAGACTCTGTCTAAAAAAAAAAAAGCAAAAACCTGTGAAGGTTTTTCTAAAATTCATTTGTAGGAATAAATAGCTAAGGACAGACAAGATGAATTTGAAAAAAGTAGTATAATGGTCAGAGAACTTTTCTAACACTAAATTAAAACAAATAATTAAAAATAATGAGATAACAGCAGAAACTGAAAAACAAATCTATGAACACACCATAGCGAATTTTGTGTATCTGTGATTTATATATGTATATAGATTGTGATTTATCTCCATCTTTATATATAATAACGTTTTATTTTAGAGTTTAAGAGAAAGGATGGAGTATTAAATTAGTGATATGCATTACAATGAGTGGAACATTTGGAAAATATAAGACTAGATTTCTATCTAATCCATACATAGAAATAAAACCCAGGTGAATACAAAATCTAAAAGTAAAAAGTCCAAAGTGTAAAACAAATTTTACCAAAAATAAAGGAGTGTATTTTTATGATCTCAAGATGGGAATGACATTCCATGCAATTAATGAAATGTAGAAGCAAGAATGATAAAATACACTACTCAAAAATTTGAAAATTAAACCAAAAGAGATCATAAACAAAGCTAAACTATAAACTACTAACCCAAAGAAAATATGTGCAACACAGTCACCAATGAAAACATATGACAATATAGGTAATCTCTTTTGGTAATTAGAAAATAAGAACTGAAATACGATATTTACCCATCAGATTTGTACTACATTTTGGGACAATATCCAAAGTGCAAAAGAACCTCAAATATGCTGGTAGTGAAAGGGTAAATCTGTGTAGGCCTTTTTTTTTCAGTCTCTATAAGAACTGATAATCTGCATCTCTTGATCAATAACTCCACTTGAAAAATATCTTTCTTTTAGAAATAGTCTTATTTGTATAAAAATATGTACACATGATTTATTATAGCATTGCTTATATTATAAAATATGACATGACAAAATAAATCAACAACAAACTAAACAACCACAGAGAAGCCAATCAATTTATGGATTCACAAATCCATAAATTATTAAATAATGTAGAGTTCATTATTATTGCTCAATATCATGCAGTTTCTAAAGAAGTAAGATGGTTAATGCTAGCCAACATTTATTAGCTTTCAATATAGGCTACATACTGAGCTAGTTGCTTTGCATGTTTTTCATCATTTTGTGTTCTCCAAATCCTAAGAAATAGGCACTATAGTTATTCCAACTTGACAAAAAAGTAGAGTTTAGCAAAGTTAAGTAACTTACCAGATCCCACAGTCAGTAAATGATAGAGCTGGGATTTGAATTCAGGCAGTCTGATGGCAGAGTGGGAGCTATTAATTGCTAAGCTATTAGAAATTAAAACACCACTATTAAAGCACCATCTATGATATTTTGTTAAGTGACAAAACCCAGTTGCAGAATAGTGCATATAGAATAATCCCATTTTTGTAAGAAAGGTATCTCTTTTATATGTTGCGTTGTGTTATGTGTGTGATGTGTATGTGGTTGTGAAGTGAGGTGAGAGGGATGGTTAACTTTATATTATATTGTTTGTATTAAAAAATAATGGACACATGTTTATTTGTTAGAATTCCCTAAAAATTCACTTCTCAGAGAACTAGAATTGCATGCATGTTTTCAAGTTTCTTGTCTTCATAGATCTATCTATCTCTCTCTATATATATACTATGTACAAGAATGTAGTCATTTTACCCATCATGATTCCCCCCCACTGATATTGTTTTAACAGATATTTTTGAATATATATAATTTTTTCACTCATGAGACATACTTTATAGTATAGAATAGATGCTGAGATTGGGAATGCTAAATTAGAGTTTATGAACATTGAAAATTTTGACAGATACTTCCAACCTGAGACACCTGCCCTTCATGCTGCTCCTAGGCAATGTATTTGTTTGACTCTCTGGACTTGTTCCCCATTTCCTTCTCTGTGTCTTTCAGCCTCACTCCTGAGAGAGAGTTTGCCACGGTGGTGAAGGGCTATCTGATTGCCTTGGGCTTGAACTTGCAATTTCCTACTTCTCTGTGTTTTTACTCAGGGGCAGTAGCTTAGCTCCTTCCCATGTAGCTGGGTGTGACAACACTGTGCATTTCCTCATGCTGTGGGCAAGTCCTTTCACTTTCCTATAGATGCTGGTGTGTGTGTGTGTGTGTGTGCGCGCGTGCACGCGTGCTGCTTTCTGCACTGCCTATCACTGTCACTTGGAGACTCAAATGACAGTTGAGCAAGAGTTTGGAAAATCCTGCTACAAATCATTAGTATTACTGTTGACACAATAGGCCAGAGGAATGACATTTTAATGATGGATCTTGCCATCAGTTAGTGGTTGGGAAGGACCAGGAGGGACTGGAAGTCTTTCTAAGCCTTTTAGGTCATACCATCCCACTTTAGGAGTATTTACTCCCTTCATTGACAGACAGGAATACAGGCTGGCTATTTCTATACTTCTCAGCTTTCTCCATTGGAATTTCCACATTGTGGACATTTGTCATCTCAGGTTGGTTTTCCTTTCCTCGCTCACCCGTCACTCCTGCAGGGTCCTTCTGTTGGTCTCTAGCTCACATGGAACCAGGAGCACAAACTGGCAGCACAGCAGGCACTTCCCAAATTGGATAAAAATGCAGAATAGGCTTTGCCCTGGTAGAAAGCTTCCCATCATCCATGCCCCTCTCCTCTGAATGAACAAGGACAGTCAGAAAGTAAGTAGTTAACCAGTTTAGGGGAAAAAATCAGCTAAAATTTATTAGGCAGGATCTGTTCTTAGCATCTGCCTCATTTTATCATCACAATAACACTATGATGTAAGCACACTCATTTCTCCCTTTTACAGATAAGAAAACTGAAGTTCAGAGAGTCACAGAGCTGGTGACTGGTAAATCTAAGACTCAAACCTAGGCACACCTGACTCCAAACTACCTGTTTTAAACTGCTCTGTGATGATGTCTCTTCCCAAAACTACACACATGCAGTGCAGAGCTAAGCTGGGGTGTCCTCTGCACGCAGAGGTCCTCTTACTGCTCAGTGCTTTGAGGCTCCTGGCTGGCCACTCCTCCTTCTCCATCCTTTGCTCTCACACTGGGGATCCTTTCTATTTCCTTCCTTCCTACTCCCATTTCTGCCTCCACTCCACAAGGCCATGTGCTTTCCTCTCTTCCTTGCTTTCAGAGAGGAAAGGCTGTAGGAAACTTTGGACCTCAGCTCTGTCAGGTTTGAATAAACAACAGCTGTCTGATTTGCAGCAACAGCACCTGGTCTTGGCATCTCTCCTGGGTTCAGGATTTTGGAAACGCAGCTTCTCCCTGTCTACCCTCTTCTCAGCGTCAGCAGTTAGACAAGTAGATTGGCAGTGTAGGGCGCATCCTCCCCTTGCAGAGGTATGTGCTGCTTCAGGATCCAGCAGGGTCCTTCTTAGACTGGTCCTTCTCTTTTCAGTTTTCTGAAATCTCTCCTTTCTACCCATTGCTTTTATTCCTATGTCAGACTAGAGCTTTCCCTCATGTTTTCTGGCTTTAGAGAAGGTGATATCTCAGCCTAATTGCTCGTTTCCTACTTAGTTTAGGTTGAAAGCTCTCTTGGGCAGACCCTAATCAGGCCCTACCTTCAGATTTGTGACTGAACCAATTTGTCCAGCTCTGGGTTGCTCTCAGATAACTTCTTTTCCCATTTTTCTTTCTGCCTCTCTTCTCCTGGAAATCACTTGTTTCCAGGATACCTGGCTCTGCCTCTCTCTCTCTCTCTCTCTCTCTCTCTCTCTCTTTCAATAATTCAATGAGTTAAACTTTAAAGTTTTCAGTTCCTCCTGGTGCCTCACTTACCTGTGACCAGCCAGTCTTCAAAAGTGCAGCTCTTAACCCAGAAAGTAAAGACTATGTATCCAAGAATAAGAGGAGAGGGGCTGTGGATTCTCAGAGAGCTTTGTTTGGGCGTGGTAGGGTTTTAGATCCCCCTGCTTTTCACCTTTGTCATTTTATCATCCAAGGAAGGTGCTTGCAGAATTTCCACAATTCCAGAGATGGAGAGCTCAAATATCTGGAGGTGGCCCAGTCCCTTGTGGATTAGCTCTGAGTTAGAAAAATTCTCATTATGAGTTGAATGTGCCTTTCTATTATTACCTGGCACTGCTCTAGAACTTTACCTACATTATGTCATTTAGTCTTTACAACATCCCCTTTTACAGATAACAAAAGTGAGGTACAGAGAACCCAAGTGACCTGCCTAGAGTTACCCAGCTAGATGGTGGTAGCTTCCAGTCTCAGAGCATGCGCTCTTAACCCCCGCATTTTCCTTTCTGTCATTTTGTCCCCCTGTTGATCCAGTTTCCTGGAGGAGATAACTCTGTGGGTCTTGTGTTCTGGGATGTGGGCTGCATCCTTTAAGGCCAGGAGACAGTGCCTAGGACAGTGTCTTGAGCAGAGTGGGTACTTCACATGTTTACTTGATCAAAAACAGAAAGAGGAAAAAATACAGGGAAAGACTGTATTTTCTGGCTTTTGAGATGGAGGAGTGAAGATAGAATCAGGAAAAGGTAAGAAGAGTACATGAAGATGTTGACCCCACAGTCCCTATTACCAAAGACCCCTCAGCCTGCCTACCTGTGGGCTTGGCAGAGGAGATTCAGGGTTCTAAAGAGGTTTGTAGGCTTGCCAGGGGGTTAAGAGCAGGCTCTGAATCTCCGAGGAAGGAGGCCTCTTGAGGTGCAGATCTAGTCTCAGGAAGGTAATGGTTCTTCTCCACCTGCAGTGGGAATTGGTGATAGAAAGGGAGACCCAGGGGCCTGTCCTCTCTGTATGCCAGAGCCCTGGGACAATTGGCCTGTGGTCTTCCCAGGAGGGAAGAACATTACTGATGCCATCACTGAGCTCTGTGGTTAGCCTGGGCTCCAGAATGTAGCCTCTTACACCAGGGAAGGGAATTAGAGCCATGCACTAGCAGGGGTGGAGATGTTTTCATGCATATACATGTGCTATATGCACATATGTGTTTATGCTCATGTATGTAGTCCATACACATGTGTGTAATCTTGTGCATGTCTGTGTTTACACTTAGGTGTGCATACCTGGAAAGAGAAGTGATGGCCTCTGACATCCCTGAGGTTCTGTGTCTGCGTGTGCGACTGTATCTAACTGCAGGTGTAGAGTTATGGGGAAGGGGTTGTTGGTTCAGGCCAGAGATCAGTCAGAATAGATTCTGATGCTGGCTCTGCATCTGACAAGCTGTGTAGATTTTGCAAACACTTAACTTTTCTGAGCCTCAATTTTTTTTTGTTTCATCTTCCTTCTTAAACATTTTGTGACTTCAATTTCTTAAGTCAGATCGCTTCTATTTGAATACCAGTTTCCCTCATTACCAAGTGGGTGCATTTGGACAAGTTATTTTTTTCTCACTAACCCATATTGTCCTCATCTGTCCTGTGCACAGAAATCACAACTTTTAGATTGATATTTTCATTTTCCTTTTAAATAGAGTAGTTTTTTAGAGTAGTTTTAGTTTCACAACAAAATCGGTCAGAAAGTACAGAGAGTTGCTCTCTTTGCTGCCACGCAAATGCAGCCTCCCCCCAATCAGCACCCACAGCAGAGGTGCACAGTTGGCGAACCTATTTTGACACCTCATTATCACCAAACTTTGTAGATTGCATAGAGTTCGTTCTTGGTGTTGTACATCCTAATGGGTTTTGACAAATCTGTAATGTCATGTGTTCACCAGTATAGTATCATACAGAATAGTTTCACTGCCATAAAAATCTTCCATGCTTCACCTGTTCATCTCCTTCTCCCCCTTAACCTGTGATAAGCACTGATATTTCCACTGTCTCTGTAGTTTTGCCCTTTCCAGAATGTCATATAGTTGGAATCATATGGTATGGCTGGTTTTTCAGATTGACTTCTTTCACTTAGTAATATGCATTTCTGTGTCTTTTAATTGCTTGATAGCTCATTTCTTTTTAGCACCGAATAACATTCTATGGTCTGGTTGAAACACAGTTCATTTATTCACTTATCTACTGGAGAAAAGTTGGTTGTTTCCAAGTTTTGGCAACTAGGAATAAAGCTGCTATAAATGTCTGTGCAGGTTTATGTGTGGACAGAAGTTTTAAACTTATTTGCATAAATGCCAAAAAGCAGGATTACTGGACCATATGGTAAGAGTATGTTAGTTTTGTAAGGAATTGTCAACTTTTTTCCAAGGTGACTATACCATTTGCATTCCCACTAGCAATGAATGAGAATTCTTGTTGCTCCACATCCTGTCCCTCATTTGGTATTGCCACTGTTCTTGATTTTGGCCCTTTTATTATCAATGTAGTGGTATCTTGTTGTTTTAATTAGCTTTTCCCTAATGACATATGATGTGGGGCATTTTTCATATGTTTATTTGCCATAAGCATATTTTCTTTGATGTAGTGTCTGTTTAGGTCTTTGACAATTTTTCAATAGTGTTACTCATTTTCTTATTGTTGGGTTTTTATTTAATTTTGAGACTATTACAGGAGTACAAAAACGTTGGTTACATATATTGTCTTTGCATCACCCAAGTCAGAACTACAAGTGTACTCATCCCTCAGACATTGCACATTATACCCATTAGGTGTGAATTTACCCCTCATTGTTGGGTTTTAAGAAATCTTTGTATATTTTAGATAGGAGTCCTTTATCTGATATGTGTTTTGCAAATATTTTCACCCAGTCTGTGGCTTGTCTTCTTATTCTCTTGAAACTATCTTTACCAGAGAAGTAGTTTTAAATTTTAATTAATTCCTGCTTATCAATTATTTCTTTCTGGATATCATCTTTGGTGTTGTATCTAAAAAATTATCACTATGACAAAGTCAATCTAGGTTTTCATTACGTTATCTTCTAAGAGTTTTATTGTTTTACATTTTACATTTAGGTCTATGATCTATTTTGAATTAATAATTGTGAAGGGTAAAAAAATCTGTGTCTAGATTCATTTATTTTTGCATTTGCATGTCTAGTTTTTCCAGCAGCATTTGTTGAAAAAACCATCTTTTCTTTATTATCAAATGCCTTCTCTCTTTTGTCAAAGATCAGTTGATTGTTTTATGTAGGTATATTTCTGGGAGACCCCCCCTAAGGTATTAATAGTAAGAGTTTACTCAGTATGAGGTAAGTGGTAAGTTGTTTCTGAACTCTGGTGTACAGAGTAAGAGGTAAGCTCTGCAAATGTGTTGTCTTACTTTGTATCCCGGCTCTACACTCACTAGCTGTGCAATCTTGGGTGAGTTTCTTAACCTCTAGGAAGAGAGGAATGATCCTGAGGTTGGCGTATTGTGAAGGCTCGGAAAGCATGGAATACTGGGTTTATAGCAGGACAGAGAACTGGGGTAGAGTAGAGGAAGTCAATATGAGATAAGAGTTGGGCTTTGGAGTTAATGCCTGAGTTCAAATCCCTGTCCTGCCTTCCTAGTTATATGACATTAGGCAATTCACTAGACATCCCCATGCCTCAGTTTCCCTTTTTATAAAATAGACATAAAAGTAATCCTGGCCTTATCATCTTATTAAATAAGGTTTTAGTTTTACAGTAGTTTTGCCATCAGAACTTGCTTCATGGGTTGTGATACCTGTGCTTAGAAGGACCTGGGG